AATTTCGAATTCAACTGAATGTTTGGTATAACTGTGATGCAACAACCAATTCGACATTAGATGAAACCATGAATAATCTGAAAAGATACATCAGTATAGATATGGAATCAATAGCAAATGAAAAACTGATGTTCGATTTATTAAAGTTCTCGTTTGAGAACAAACAAAGAAGTATTTTAGGTTTCATACGTTGGATACCTAAACTAGTATCGAATAGTAAACATAATAAAAATCGACTAACAAAGATTGATAATTTTCAATTATCGGCCAATTCAGAACTGATACCACTCACTACGCGGCGCCTAAAAGAATTATTACAAACAACTTCGACAAGCATTTCAGTAGAGGAACGAGAGCAAATGTCAATCGATGATGAAAATTATGACAATTATGTGTCGTCAGACAATGGAAATCAAGAAAATGATCTTGATGACAGTACAGATTCAGATGCAGAGGACAAGGTAAGTCAGACGCCATTGTTTCTATTTTTATCTTTTAAACAAGTACATTTTGCTACAGTTTTGTTGGGGAGTTAGATCATTGAGCTTTATTATTGTCAAGAGAGAGCCGCATATTTTCCAATAGGCAGTAAAAAGAACAGTAAGCACTAAACCTTTCTCCATATTCTTCGTTCCACTATAATCATTTTCATGAAGAATATTATCTTCTTAGTTCACGATTGTACAGTATTTTGTCTTTCTGTAGATCAATCAATCATCGAGAACTCATCTCCTGTCCATGGATACACTTGAAATTGATGAAGGTACTAAGATTTCAACAGTATTAAATAAGTCTGAGAATGAAACTGATATTAACCAAGAAAATTATTTTAATGCCAGTGTAGCCAATGATAGCATATCTCAATTGCCACTTCCGATTAAAGCATCGATACCTTCAGAGGACACAGAAGTACTAAAAACGAAGCTTGCTGAGATGGACAAAGAAAACAAAAAAGTAGAAGAACGGCTTGCACAAGCAAAAACAGAAGTTGCTAGTCTACTTACTTTACATGATGACATAAAAGAAAAAAATCAAACAGAACTAGAAGAACGCAAGAAAGAAATCGATATAATGCGTCTTGAACAAGAAGAAAAAGAACAAAAATGGCTTCAAATCGAGAAACAAATCAAGCAGAAATATGAAGAAGAAATACAGTCACATTCACAAAATATGTCCGTCATCATTGAAGAAGTCACTACGCTAAATGAGAAGCAAAACAGTTTAGAAGAACGAATGCAAACACTGAAACGCAATGAAGAAACCATTAAAAATTGTGAATATTCTGGTTTTCATTCACAAATCATGCATGACTTCATACTACCAAAATTCGATTTACTCATTAATTATATAAAGGAAAGTGTTCCGAATATAGATGAGTATTTCATTGATAAAATACCTAAATTAACATTTGTAGAAATCAATGATGCTACATATGCTATTACTCTCCGTGGCTTTCCGGATCATCATACAGCATTTGTAGCTGCCCGAGATCGAATATTCAATCTTTCAAATTCAGTCAATTCAGCCAAAGAATTTTATCAACGAGACATAAATCGAATTATTCGATCGATAACTAGAACATTGACAACAGTTCAAGCAGATACAAACATTTGGAAACAATATTCTAAAATTCTGACTCAAGTATTAGAGGAAAAGGGCATCGAATATGTCAATAGATTTAATGTTTATATAAAAGGAAAAGCAAAAACATTAATTGAACGATCCATTCTTGGCACTTCAACTCCTCCATGGATTGAGCTTCGAAGAGATACGGATGATTTTCGAAATGAATATCCATTGGTAAACGAAATTGAAGGACTCAAACATCAAGCACTTGACGAATTCATCAAACAAAACATATCATTTCAAAAACTGAAATTCGATCAAACTCCAACAACAAAATCTATAATCACTATTAAAGAGTTTGTCAACCAAATCCAGCTTAAATTTAAGACAGATAAAATATATGAAGGTTATCAGATGCATCATTTCAGTTTGATACCAAACTTGCTACAACAAATAATGATCTATTATTCGTGTTTTGTGGTACAACTACCACTTTTCGAGTCATCACGAGAATTATTAAGTAAGATCGACAAAAATATTGTAACAACAATAACGACATCGACTGGATCAGGTAAAATGTGAAGAAAGAGTTAGAGTGCTTTTTTGGAAGACGACATTGAAAATGAAACTAAATTAGTCAATGAATATCTTGTTTTTTCTCTAATGAAATCGATTGATTTCAATGTTTTACGAATCATTAATTAGCTCTAGATGGAAAAATTATATTATCTAATTTATTTTTTTTAGGAAAATCCACCCTACTACCATGCCTACTCATCGCAGAAGGGTATGATAAGGTAATTGTAACTCAGCCTCGTCGTTTACCGTGTAGAATGATTTCAAAGCGTGTTAATGAAACTATTCAAACGGATACGAGTGATAGATCACAGAAACTAGCTGGATGGGCTGTCAGTGGTGATCAACATAATCCGAGTGCAAAAATTCTCTATCTAACAGACGGTTTACTCAAAGAACGTCTATTATATGATGAAAATTTTATCACAATTCATACTCGAGTAGACAAGTCCATTGTATTCTTTGTGGACGAAGTGCATGAACGCTCCTGCAATATTGATCTTTGCTTGGCATTACTAGCTCGACTATTAATTGATAAGCCAGATCTTAAATCTAAACTGAAAATTATTATTTCCTCAGCCACACTAGATTCATCAGTGCCGCGACTATTTCGTCAAATACCAAATATTAGTTTTACTGAATTCGAAATGCCACAAATGGATACTCGATATCCTGTGAAAAAAATCGCCCGTCGAAATGAGAATGTCCTGGATATTGTACTGGAATTATATAAAAAACGCGAACGACATGATCAGATTCTTTGCTTTGTCAATTCTGTTTCAGAAGTTAATCAATGTTGCCGTCTACTAGCAGAATTAAGTCAAGGAACAATAGGTGCTGTTGCACTGGTTCAATCTCAATCGCCTAAAGTTCAACAGGCAAACATTGAAACTAGAAGTGTATTCTTTTCGACTACAGTGGCGGAGACATCATTGACATTTCCATCATTAAAATATGTGGTTGATACAGGAATGATCAATGTGCCCGTTTATGATTCAGAATCAAAGCGAACAGTATTAAAAGAAGTTCGAGCAGCTGAATCAACTATAAAGCAACGTCTTGGTCGATTAGGTAGAACAAGACCTGGAGAATATTATTATTTATATGATTTTAATGTCGAGGAACAACGTTATCCTATACCACATATACGTCAATCAGATTTAACAAGTATTGAATTTTCATTAAGAAGATCACCAATTAGAAATGGATTACATTATATGCAAAAATTCTTTCCCGATAAACCAACACAAGAAGCTATGAATGCGGCAGTTGACGATCTGAGAAAACTGGGTGAGTAATGTCAGATAAGATAGAAGCTAATTATTTGCCATACTACCGATTTTAAGCTATTAGTCCCTGCTGTTAATTGAAAAATCCCTTGAATGAAAAAAACTTTGCAGAAGAGTATAGAGAGCCAATTTTTATGGTATGTTGAAGTTCGCTGTATTTCAGGTATTTTGGAAGCAGCTCCTAGCAATGAGTTTACACAACACGGCGTATGTCTGACCAAACTACCTGATTTTGGTTCATTGGCAATGTCTAAAGCGGTATTGGCTGCTCTTGAAAATTATCATTGTGGACGTGATCTTATATGTCTTTCATCTATTTTAAGCGTTTTAAATACAACAAATGTTTTGAAAAGTTTACCACAGAATATGAAATGTTCGGATGGAGATTTTATGACGTTGTTGAATATTATGAATGATGTTCTATTAGTCAAACAATCTGTTCAAGCAGATCAGTTTGATCTAGATCGCTTTTGTAAAGCTAAAGGACTAGATTGCATTAGACATATTATTAAACAAGCATTGGATCGTTACACAAGTCTCGAAAAAGCATTTCAGTCGTCAAGTACTTATCGTCAAGAAGCCCAAATACGATCTGGAAATTGGGAATATGTAGCAAAATCATTGTTAGCTGGCTATTCAGATAATGTATTCGTCTCCATGAAAGATTTGCAAGAAAAAACTCATCAATACGGTAGATACAAGGACACCATTGATCTAGCTGTCTTAGACCTCCAATCAACCCTGGTACGCTCTATAAGTGAAGCCCCTGTGTCTATCGTTTTAGCAAGAGATGTTCGTTATTCGACAGCTGTTCGTTCAACAGCGATATTATCATTTATTGGCGAAATTAAACCTTCATGGATTGAATGTCCAACAGTACGAAACATTAAAATTAGTGACGAGGAATTAACTCATCTGCATAGTAAGAACATATTTTCTCGCATTCAATCGAAGATTTCTAATTTGATCCATATGATATTTGGTCACCAAACTATTAATTTAACCGGTAAATCAAGCATCGTTTACAATACTGAATTAAACCTTCGAAAAGAGATTGTAATTTCCATGTCATTCGAATTAAAAAACGAATGTAAACCAGGTACACCAGATTATGAGAATTTATCCAGAAATCTGGAAAGCATAACGAAAATGCCATACATATTTAATCCGATGAAATGGCGATGGGAAGCACAGAAACAAGTGAAAATAACGATCAATGCTAATCCAACTACGAAAACTTGTGAAATAACACTTGAAGGAAGAGATTCTGAAAATCGAAATTGTCAAAAGGAGTTTCAATCATTCTTGTCTTGGTTAAAGCGTTGTGTGGTGATTCGACCTCCACATGCAGGTATGTACAAAACTATCAGCTTATGTTTTAATGGTAACATAACAAAGTACTTCACCAATGTAGTTTTCTCTAAATATCTAGTAGAACGTTGTTGAAACTCTATTATGATTGAGTGTTTTCTATTACAGGTGTTCTGCCACGTCTTCTACACCCTAAAATGCGCAAACAGTATCCTGAGATCGAAAAGCGTATTGCCTGTATAACGGATAGTAAACGAACGATGGTCGATCTCTATAACAGTATTAAAGGTCGAGGTGCAACACGTGAAACACGCATGGAAGCTGTAGCTTGGATAGCTGTTTGTAAATTTCATTGTAAATTAGAAGGCGGTTTTGTTCGAGACTGGGTCATTGGTCATTATCGAGAACCACAACAACGTGCAAACGATCCAAAAAGTTGGATTCAATATAGCACAACTCCAAAGGGTCAGCGGATTCCATACATGAATAGAGATATCGTTCCAGCGGATTTAGATTGTCATTTACCTTTGGATCGCTATTTCGATATTGATAAATTTCGGGATGAATTATACAAATTTGATCTTACATGTGAAGTAATACGAGAAGATTGGAGATATGTTTTACTGATAGACGAAAATGCACCAACCGGTCCGTTTACAATGGATCTCATTGAACCACATGTCGCATTGACGCATGATCGTATTGATCTCGATGTTAGTAATCTTTCATTAGAAAAAGATTATCCACATGAAATAGGAATGCGTATTGATATAACACAATCACCATATTCAATCGAACTTGAAACCATCGTCCAAAATATAATAAATAAACATTTTCAAGTTCTTCGTCCACTTGACACTTTGGTCAATGATCGTATTAAGAAAATGACACAGCGTCAATGGACACAAATAGGAGAGCCAACAAATTACATACCACGGCCTTACGTGAAATATAATGCCGTTTTAGTACCGTTACCACCATCATCAACTTTATATCAAGCACTGTTAGGAACGATCAAAACTATTGGAACTTCTGTGCGAATTATATCGATCGATGAAATAAAAAATCCTCTTCTAGAAGATACATATGAAGCGATGAAGAAAATTATTGCAAGAGAATGCAAAGGAAATCCAAACGAACGGAAACTTTATCATGGTACCAAGGGTGACGCAATCCATGGTATAGTAGAAGATGGTTTTGATGATCGATTTTTCAGTCCAACTGGAGCATGGGGTAAGTATATCTTAGAGTATTTCATAAATAAATGAGTAGGGTGGGTATTTGAGGTATGTGAACTTTTGAAAATTATCAATTGTTGATGGATGCAAAGATAATATGATGGGTTTGTTCACTTGAAGATTTATTGTATTGTTATTGTATAGGACATGGTGCATATTTCGCTGATGATCCTCGAAAATCTCACAATTATACAGCCGCAAATTCAACCAATCAAACGGGTGTAATTTTTTACAGTAAGGTTACGTTAGGCAAAGAATCGATAATGAATCAAAAAGACAATAAATTAACTTCAGCACCAAAAGGTTTTCATTCGGTCCAAGGAACTGTATTTTCATATCGTGAATACATCGTATACCGTTATGCACAAGCACTGCCATACTTAAAAATAACTTACACAGCAAAACAAAAATGAGCCATATTATATTGAAATTTGTCTATTCAATGTTTGCAAAACTCAATAAATCTTAATAATACTTATGTTTCTAACTTTTTGCATAAATTCTAGAAATTATCATATGAAAGAATTCTGAAAACACCGAAAAAAGAAAGATGCCCTACGAGAGTGTTTCGATACATTCAGTTAGTATGCTTTTGACTGGACAGAAATCTGCACCCACTCACTCGTCTAATAAATTGAAAATTTGATTGAATGTCTTTGATTCGTTCTTCTCCTTATTCTCAAGCCTCCAATTTGACAGAGGCAGCCCGAATTGAAAATTTCATTTATGAATCTGTATTTTCTATTTAAAAAAAACTTGTGGGTGTGGATATGGCATGTAAGTGTTGATAAACATTCTGTTGCCCACGTCCACATCCTCGAAAAGCAGTGAAGTATTTAACATGAGTTTTTCTGTGTTTAGATTCAACCATTGCGGACTTGCGTTAGCGACTATAAGAATACAAGTCTAGTTTGATTTTTATTGATATGCCAATGTCACTGTTGCTTTCTCTTTTGATGAATAAATTGAGTCAGCAGCATCCATATATGCTCTACATATTTGAGTATTAATTTTGGGTAACTTCGGTGCTAGCTCATGTAATAATTCCCTCTTATAGGAATCTTTAGCAATATCCGTGATTGCAGGTAATAATATCAAATAATGTTTCACGCCCCGATATCGATTGTCCATCAAGTCGTTGTAAACATTGAACTTCACTCTGTCCGAATATATATTTTCTGCAGCTGCGATTATAATGCGCAAATGTCGAGTGATAAATTGCTCACGGGACAATAGTGTTTTAAGATCATTGGCTTTGTAATTGTCATTACTGATATCATTTATCAGTTTTACAGTTGTTTGAAGCTGTTTTTCACATAATGCAGAACGTTTTAAAATATGTTGTAGCAGTTCATATTTTTCACGAGGGTGTGGGTGTGGAGTATGGGTGGATGTGTGGTGTGGGTGTGCATGTGAGTGTGTGGGTATGGGCGGTGTTCAAATTAAGACTAAAACCCACACCCACACCCACACCCACACCCACACACCCACACACCCACACCACCCACACCGACACCGACACCCACACCCATCCACACCCACACGCACACCCACCCACATCCACACCCACATCCACACCCGCATCCACTTTAAGTGAAAAATCTAATTGGTTTTGTAATTCAAGTGAAGTTTTATTTTAATTTATTCGAACAGTTTTGATAAATTAGCATTAAATTCAAACGCTATCCAAACGTCAAATGATTGCTGTGACGCAGAAGCGCAGCGGCGTCGTTGTGGCGTCGCCTTGAGCATCGATGCATTTACAGTTAGAGCTCTGGGACCACTCATAGCTAGACTCCTTGCAGACGGTATTTTACTGCATAGAGAGTCAGATGAATTGTTGCCACCAGATTGCCATTTGTGCCAAGGATATACAACTGTACCATCTTGTCGTAAAACTGGTTCTTGTCTTGAATTGATATCCCAGAGAGGACCATGTTCATGTAACGATGGAACGACTAGCTTGACGAATTCAGCTTCAGATGTAGTTAATGGATCGTAAGAATCTTCGGAGCTTTTGAGATAATGCATACCACTATTTCCATTTCCATTCACAATACAAGTATGAACTTCGCAAAAGCGGTCCGTATTATGATTGTGCACCCCAGCATTCGTACCTTTTCCAGCAGCCCATAACTGAATATGACAAAGGTGTTCATTGTTATCAGTAAACTTAATGTTAAAGCCTCTCATATTATAAAATTCGAGACCTTTGAATTTCTCCTTTCCCCATTCAAGTTCATCTACTTTGACAAATTTGAAAGCAAGTTGACGTGCATCTTCTGGAGAACTTTCAGATAATGAGTTCTCAATCATAACCTTTTGAATGTTGTCGAATCGAGGAATATCATACATGTCTTTAGGTAGTTGTAATACAATAAAAATTGCACCTTCACTTCCAGTTTTTATTCTGTTGTCATCACTGTGTATTTCAAGAGAACAAGCACTTTTTGGTTTGCAGAGAAATGTACGCGAATGGTTCACGGGTTGCCGTGATTTATTGGAGGAATCTTTCCATGTTATGATTCCTGAAAGAACCTTTATATAGGTATTTTTTCCTACTTGACGCGAACTATAAGGTGGTAAAACTTCTAATGATAAAGTTATGTTGCCTATCGTTAAAAACGGCAGTACGTGGTATTGTAATACTTTGTTTGGTCTTGGAACTGTGAACAAAATTTCATCATTTTGTTTCGTCACTTTTAAGTCATTTTTCACTTGTAGCGTCTTGCTGGCTAAACGATTGTAAAATATATTAATTGAAGGATTTTCCGCTGTGTAATAACCCGGAACATAATAGCCTATTGTTGCAAAATCAATAAAGGTATCATTGTCAAAGTCTGCAACGGTGATTCTAGCAGCAGATTCACCACTAACTTTCCATTTGACAAATAAACCACGAGAAAGATCGATAGGCTTATAATAAAAGACACCCTCATTTGGAGCTGGTCCACGAAGTGCAACTAAAAATTCATCATTTCCATCTTTGTCAAAGTCAGCACAAATAATATGATGACCTGGACCTTCGCCATTTTGATCAGGATGTCCATATACATCGAGAACATGTCTTTGCCATTTTATCTGTGTCAGTGAATTGTTGGTTGCTTTAGTGTAGATAGAAACAACATTCCCATGAAAGGGTTCAAGTGCTACAATATAACCAAAAGTGTCACTTCCAAATTTCCCTATGTCTACACCACCACTACCATAGTATTTTGTCTGCTGTTTTTCTCCCTGTTCACCATCGGCGATTTTCTCAATTATCCACGCCCCTGAATTTTCATTGTAGTAAAGCCAAGTAAGACCTTCCCGTGAAGCAATAAAAAGATTATCCAACAAATGAACTTTAAACATTTTGGCATCATGAATTAAATGAAAATAATCTTTGTCAATAATTTCACAATCCCATGCTTTAGCAGTTAACACATCATCAGGCTGTCGAAATAACAATACAGGCACTGGTACATCGAATGGTCCGTTGACGACTGGCATACCTATAATCTCCCAACGTTTGGCTTGCGTGAAATGACCAATTTTAAGTCTGTGCATTGTTGCTGATTTTCCGACATAATGCTGCTTCCATGGTTCAGTGCTCATATTCTTTCCAGGATTTTCCAACCATACGATAAGTCCTCCATCAGGATTGAAGTCGATTATTGTATTTCCATAGTCAAAGCAGATAATAATATCTTTAAATCCATCGCCTGAAATATCAGCTTGATCCATTGCAACAGGAGTAATAAGTTTTTGAATACGAATTGGTTTGTGGTTTTCTGCATTTGTGTACGGGTTTGAGTAAAAACTGACCTCTCCACGAGAAAGTCCATAAACTACGAACCCAATCGGAGTTTGATCGTCGAGTTGAAAAGCTTCGATCCAGTATGCGTCATTAAGATGTTCTTCGATCATTTGCTTCTCAAACGAAGGACCATAGCTTCCATTATCGTATTCAAGGGAAGTAGCGCCCAAAAATCGCAGAAACATAATGAAATATAAGGCATAATGCACTGTGTCCATTGTAACTAAATGCATTGAATAAATTCTCAATTAAGAATAAAACGTAACAAAAGAACGAAGACAGCAGATATGATAAAATATCAAAACAAAGTCATTAACAAAACGAATGAAACACAATTATTAAGAAAACTCTTTTTATATCTGCGATGTATGACAACGAATGATAGGCGAAAATGGGGCCCGTACCTTTTTCTCTTTCTTCCGATTATTACACAACGGTGAGAGCTGACATATAATAATTGGTTCGAGCAGAACGGATCTGATTAGAATAATTGTATTTAGTTTTCAAATCATGCGGAAGAAGAGAAGTGGAACTAATAGTTCGAGTATAGAAAATCAGGTCCTGCAGTGGTATCACTTTCCTGATTTTTTTAAGTATTCTGACTTTCCTGATTTTGACTTAAAATCCTGATTCTTCATGATTTATTCTTATAGGACTATGCCTAAATGCTTATAATTCATTCTTTTATTATAATCAATTTATTTTTAAAAATTTATTTAAAAATTTCTATAGAATATCTTGTACCAAAAATAAAGATGATGTTCAAATAATAATTATTTTCGTCATTCGTTTTTTTTCGTAATCGGTGTAAGTTTTCAACATTTTCAAACAATTGAGTTTCAAAATAATTAGCTTAGCATTAGCAATCAGAGATGAGTATTGTGCCTTAAAACTAGGTGACTGCTGTACGAAGGTCAGTAATGATCGCGAAACATCGGTAAAGTCGACCATCAACCTAAAAACTCTTCCCTTAGTTGGCGTGTAGTAGATTCTAGTGGAAAAAAAATGTTTGTAGTTTTTAAAAAGTTCATAGATTGATATGAATGTTCTTTTAAGAACTGGTTGTCTGCCAAAACATGTTCTTGGTTGTGTTCAAGATGAATGAAGAAATGAAAAATTAAATGTTACTTTACAAATATCTAATTACATAATATCTCATGCTGATGATTTTTTTTCACAAACCGACAATTTCTTTCTTGTTGATGACTTTTCGTCCATATTCGAACTGTGCTATCACCTACAATATCTCGTACAGAATGAATTTTAGTAGTACTATTCTCATATTGGTCTACTAGAAAGCAACTAAATTGAAAACTTCAATTTCTAAAATGTGGACTATCATTCACGCCTGTTCAGCAATAGTTCAATATAATCAATTAGTTAATATGTTATCAAGTTCTTGAGATAGATGTAATTATTTGATAGGTAATAACTTCGTCAGAGACAAGAGAAAAAAATATCTGGTGGGAAATTTGGAACACACCCATGAGTGATACGTATCAGAATTGTGTAAAAATAAATATTATTAAGACGATAAAAATAGTCAGTTTCATTTTAAATTATTTTCTGTGAGTGACTTAGAATTACTTGGAGCGTGTTTTTTTGCACACATGC